TGTCCCGGTCTCGAGGCTGTTTTTTGTGACTGAATTTGAAATCATGGTCCTCAGTACCACTCATTTCGACGCACGCCACGCCCACTGTGGGCGGGGCTCCGCTTAGGTAATGTATGTTTTTTACTTCTCGAGATATGGTACACCCATCCCAAACTTGACCTGGACCCAGTAGGTTGTTGTCCGCTTAATACGGAATTTCGTGACAGACAGACAGACAGACAGACAGACTTAGCGCATTATATATAGTAGGGATATATGATTATCTATATCGTGGTTTGCAATGACCTATCACGAGTGATAAGGGGGTATATCCGCGTATAGCCGAGGTCATATGTACTTTAAATGTAGTGAGAGTAGAATGATTTGAGTGTGAATCGGGAGTTATGTGTGCCAGTGGCAAAAGAAACAATGTGTGTCGTCAAACTGTCAGCTGCCTTTGAAAGCGCGTTACGGTAATAAATAGGGACCAAAATTCGACGGTGAGTTTTTCCATCCAGTGGGCCAACGTTATTAGCATGGCTGAGTGGAGAGGAAAAGAATGAAATGCCAGCAATCTGCCGAAAGAAGCTGTTCTTCAAAGTGAGTTCTCTAGCATTGCATACCAAGCTCGGATACTTGATTGTCAAATGTCATGTCAGGGCACGCGTCAATCAGAAGCCGCAACTATGCATCGCCCTTTGGGACGCAATAATGTTGTCTTTCAGCCCATCCTGTAAACAGAAATGCCACATAGATACGCACCTGAGCAATTTTCGGTAGCTTGCTTGTATGATGAGGAAGAGGGAAAGCAACACTGATGAAAATAAAATTGACATTCAAATGAGGACCATGTTGAGTATTTTTACAGCAACTACTCAAAACATATCGTTATTGATATGCCGTACTACAAATACCCCAACACATACACCGCTGCAGTGTTGGCTAAGCGAATCCAACAACGGGCTATCCTCAGGGATGATCTTCGTTGCTTACGTGGGAGGTGAGCCGAATATGGAAATTTTTTGAGATGGTTTTATATACTTTGCTGACTGAAGGTACCGTCAAATCTGTGAGTGAGTATGGTGAGTGCGCTTATCTACCGAAAGGCACGAGTCGGAGATGGATTGATCTTACGTTAGTTCGCGCCTTAAAATTGACAAGACTGAGGAATGTCAAAGTAGGGAGAGGGAAAACAAAAAAGCACGTGTAGAGAACCAATTATTCTCTTATGGGTGAGGTCGGCGGGGTAGACAGACAGGATCACAGCGGTGCGAGGAGAGGGAACGTGAGATAGTACGTCGTACGCTAGGGGGCGCAGGGACCACGTATGCAGTCGTCGGTAAGGATGGCAGCACGGCAGCACGCACAAAGTCAAGATCCTAGCGCTATTTCCTTGCACTTTTGAGTACGCAAAATTTCGGTGCCTCCTGACCTTGGGGACCCCGGTTTATCACTCTAGAAGGGGGTTGGCAGCCCGTCAACTGCCAGGACCTTCTTTCACAGCGTACGCTTTACGGCCTAAAATTACCTTCCAAAATCTAATTGCATCCTAGGCCTGTTGTGGAATGGTTTTCCGCCTACCCTCCTCAAGCAACCCACCCACCTCTCCCCTCCCTCCACTCCCCTCAAGCCAGCCGGTCAAGCCGTCCGTTGAACAAAGTCCAACGCATGGCGTCTCTAGCGTATGAGAGTAATGCCGAGAGTGAACGTACGCACGGAGACAGCGAATGCCGGCGCGGAGAGCGGTCAACGTCGGTCCAACGTCGGTCCAATGTCGGTCCAACGTAACGGTTGACCCTGCCTCAAGCTGCCACCGCAGCACCATGTGGAATAACCGGAAGTGACCTCAGTAGGTGTTTGTATAGTCCTTGGGGTGTTATCACAATTATGCCATTGCAAAACATTGATAGCTCAAGTCCTGCGAGCTACACGATTCTGTAGCGGTTGACTCCATCCCTTATCACTCACTTCATTTTGCGGACGGGCATTATACATAGATACAGACATTTATTATTAGGTGTTTCAGAAAGTTCTGTCGTTTTCTGACATTCCACTTTTGGATGCTTTATTTCCCTTGAAATCTAGGAAAGCTGCAATTGATGTTGATGTCATTTTGAAGAACTTTTCCAGCTCTATCCAATGCTCAGCACAACTTTATCCTAAAATATTTTCTTATAGCTTTTTCAAAGCTTTGAATTCAGTATACTCGAGAGCAAGCTGGCATGACTTTCTTTTTCTAGCTTTAAATAGACCTGAAAGTGGCGGGAACAGTTCAAGATATCAACGATGCTTTGGGCCTAGATTTGCAATAAATGTGCTCAGAAGCAGTAGTTAAAAAATTTATTGTAAGGAAGGCGAGAGCCTTGAATATGATGAGAGTAGTGGTCGGACATCGGACGGTGTCTCCGATTAGCCAAAAGTTCTGATTGAAGCACTTGTGCGTAAGACCATAGAGGAGGTTCTGCCCAACGTGGGCGTATATGGTTTGTACAGCCAAGCTATACGGAAGAAGCTGGAAAGTCTAAAAAATTCGATAGTGGCGTGCCGCGACAAATCACCAATTTGAAGCATCGTCCATCAAATTGTCGCTGGTTTTATGTGGTGAAAGCGACTCGTTTCTCTACAGATTTGCGACGTACAATAAAGAGCGGATTCTTCTCTATAGTCTACGAAAGTTTGCTGAATAGATCGACGGCGATGAAGCTCTACAAACTTTGCAGAATTTAAACTGTGCTGGAGGAGGGTTGTGGCAGCTTTCATGGGGCCAGCGGCTGGCCATGTTCTTCAGTATCAGATGGAACTGTTACAGTGGAGAATCAATCTTTATACTAATTCAAAAATCATCAAAAACTCTAGGACATGGGTCCAGCATTCCTCATTATATCGAACAACTTTCGTATTCCCCCCCGGGTCGAGACTTTATCGTGAGCGGGGCCGTGGCGCGTGGGAATGGCTTGTGAGCAGATTGAGACCAAGATGACTAATATTATTGACACATCTAAAATCCATAGCGCATAGCGTCTCGGGTAGAGGACTCATCATGCGCTTAATAAGCGCGGCCATAGAGATATCGGTTACCAAGTGTGATGCTTCGATTATATGTACGAGATTCACTAGCTCAGAGGATAGGTTGGCGAGCATCTTAATTACGTAGTAGCTGGCTCGCTGACTCGTTCTTGTCTACTAGTCAACTGTCTGGAGCTCGATCTCTCTGAGCTTCTATGTGAGAAGAGAATTTATGAATGCAAAAATTCTCACCACAATTGGATGCCATACACAGACGAATCTTGACGTCAGTGCACTATGTTAGAGCCCTTCCAGGTGACGTGGTTCCAGCCTAGGCGCTATACGATAAAAGGACCGCTTGCGCTTGAACGGGTAATATTCTCGAGAACAAGAGTTCGCGCTTGTCAAATGTGGTCTTTGAGCTTGTGTTGGTCTTTTGAATCAAATGAAAGGTTTACCAGGGAGGCCGAGATACTGTGCATTTAAAATCTGGCGGGGCGTTTGGCTTGTGGAAAACTGATCTAGGATCTTTTCATCGATTACAGAGCTGATATCCATATACAAAGCGTCGATCTGGTTAGAGAGTGTCTTATAAAAATATGTCATATAGCGAGAGGTAATTAATAATATAATCTTACGGCAATTATCTCGGTTATTAGCTGGTCTCACACTTGCAGTTTAGATTTCATTATTGTGGCGCAGTTTCTGCTGCTAACTTATGATAATGAATAGGCGTCTAGATCTTGAAGGTCGTGTTGCCTCCTGGTTACTTGCTTTTAGTCATCAGAGGCGTGCCGGGGCTGGAGAAATTGTTTTATCTAGTGCGTCTCTCTACGCTTTAGCCTGTTACGATTATACTGCTGTCTCATTGAATATTATTATACTTGTAAATTTAGGCTTTACTGAAGTATTATTTAGCTGCCTCGATGGTCTGAGATAGAGTACGTAAGGGTGAGTTAGATCTCCAGCGAGACTAATATAGAGCTTTCGGAGCCTTTGGTAGCTGTGAGGCAGAGCTAGAGCTTCAGAGTGCAAGGATTCCTGAATCGTGTATTTTATCGGCTGTAGTTTATTTACTCGATAATGAAGTTGGAAGATGGGCTTTAGTGAAAGGAAGAGAGGGGTGATTAGACCAGATTTACGAGGCGGTGTGTTGCTCTGATTTGGAATCTGTTTTTTCTACATATGGAACTGGAAGAGGGCAAGCAGAAGAAAAAGAGTCATGGAGGCGAGGCGAGGGAGGCTGCGACACGAAGCTGTGACAGGATCAGCGAGGGGACATGCTATGTACGAGGTCATGCATGGAAGCCGTAGAACTGTTCGAGCGAATCCAGCTCTACGCTACAATGGTGTTCCGAGCGTTGCCTATTAGGATGGAACTCCCTTAGTTGACTGCAGAATGGACTTTCAAGGATTACCAATCAGTTTGACAGCAATATCTAGTGCCTTTTCCATGACTGCTACGTCGTCTAAAGTAGGTATACTTTTAGAGGAAAGTCTGCCAGTCTGCCGAGGGTGCGCTTACAATTATGAAACGCACTGTATATATCTATTATGCTTTGCTCATGCTCTCATTTCAGCAATATATGAACCAAACCCGATACCATAGGCAGCGAATTTCCTCCATCGTATGCAAAAAGTGTATTATACATGACGTCGCTAAGGTAAGCAAGTGCTTCTTTTCAAAAATAAGTGATTCGAAGAAATAATGAAAGAAAAGGTTGGAGAGGGGGAGACCTTTTTAGAGACTACGTGATTTCTGCTCCCTTACGTATTCACAGTTCTCTCTCTCGGAGCAGGTCGTCCCAACGATTTACGCGTCTCGCGAATGAACTTCTAGTTTCTGCAAACGAGTAGTCAGTGCCTTTCATAGAAATGCTTTCAGGTGTCTTTATCCGTTGTCATACATCAGGAGAGTGGTCTAGCGAACTGTCCCCTGCATAATAAATCGAATCTAATGCGGTCTGCACAAGGCAAGTCTTGCCCTCGATACGCCACGCACGCGCCTGTGGCTGGCATTTGGAAGTCTATTTCATCTTGCTATGACTTGCTCAGTTTTTGGCACTGCTACCACGCTCTGATGCGACGAAGCGAGCTCTCCCTAAAAGCTTTGCTGAAGACAGAAAGATTTTTTACGATGTATAGTAATTCACGCGGAGAAACACTTCAGGACGGGCGAGCCTGGAAAGAATAATTATTTTGAGTTTATGACAACTTCATGTTCTTTGTGAGCGTTCCTCCCCAGTACTTCATCCATCGATCGTATGGAGTAGGGGCATCGTGTGCACCCAACAACATTGTGCCGTAATACTAAATCAACCTATGATCCTGAACTTATAGTCTTGCAGCCGCAACAGGCTCGGCGTCTTTATACTTTCATTACAGGATCTATTTCACGACGGTGTTTTCTACACTTACGATCCAAAAACGCTACTAGCAAGGCTTGGAGATGGAAGCCACATGACTCCGGTTGGATTAGAAATGATGCGGTCATCTTATAAGAAAATTTTAGATAAACTTTTATCGGTTCTTCCGAATTAGTAATACTATACTATGAAATAACTCAGAGGACTAAGTTTTCCAGAATAATTCTTCGTTTATTCAGAATGTATGTTGTTGTTGAAATTCAAAATTCTGCATATGTTTACTTGTAATGTGATTGCATTGAATATTAAGGAATTAAAATGAAGCGCTTTAAACTAAGCAGAAGTGCCTATTGTTTTCAGTTTTGTTGTTTCGCCTTCTCAGCAAAGTCCGGGAGCGAATTGGAAGGGAAAGCACGTAGAGATGGACAGTGATGAAGAAACTGGGAGGACGCCTTGTCCAAAAAAACTTCCCTCTCCAGTAGTAGCACAATGAAGTAGCCTCGATTTGCGGGCAGGGTCAACCGTGCGTTGCGCAGATTTTAAAGTTTTTACGACCCCCTTTCTTTCGCTGGGTATCGGTACGACCCCCTAGCTATTGTTTCTTTTTTGCCCATCATCTGAGTATGGGCCGTTATGGAGAGGCGGTGGACGCTGTTGAGTCTGCGCGTTTTGCCTCGCTCAGCGGACGGGAATCGAGACAACATGAAATTTCAAACATTAAATAAAAGTAACTTCCAGATATTTTTCCCATGTTCACGTTATGACTAACACGGTAGTAATCGCAGAGAACATTCCACAATACCGCTTACAGAATGTGAAAAAATGGTGCCGATTGAAGGATGTCTTTCACGAACCGTCACACCCCTATAACTCCGTTGAAAACGAATGAAACCGAAAGATTCAAAGAGAGTTGGACCACTCTCTCCAGGACATTCGGCATATTTCCACAGGTTTAACCCTAAGTACGCACCCACCTCCACCTCGTTAAACGCTTGAAATATCATTCCGGACCTCAAGGTAGACACCCAGAACCTCACCCTAATGTGCACAAGTTCATTGTTCATTCGCATCTCTTCTCTGGTGCATTTTTATTTACTTTTCACAGACACCCTCAGAACGAGCGAATTTAATTTCACAGACAGTTCTGAATTTCGAAACGCCAGGTTCTCATAATTTGGACGAAAGAAACCGAACTAGTAACTACTCAAACTTCTATGAACCCCACGCAATGCTTGCCATGAATCAACTTTCTTTTCATTCACTGAATTGCACTGACGCACGTGTCGATCACAATTAAATCACGTTTGCCAAACATTCATATGTTCGTTAGCCAGGCACAATTGCTCACTGACAATCCTGCTACCTGATCATAATACAGCCCAATCTTCCACCTTTTCGAAAAAATATAAGTGAACACGAGGACGAAAAATAATGGGGCCCGGGGGCAATTCATGCCGCGCCACTCGCCGCACTCAGCACGATGAACGCTACACGATAATGTACAATTGGTTTCTTGATAACTGCTTAGTTTTTTCTAGTTTACGCTCTCTTATTCTTTTGGCGATCGCTAGCCAATGCGAGTGATTGCTCGGACCTCGGTAACTCTAGCGTCACTTGAGTAATGCTCGGTGCTCACTTGCTTCAAGGTCCATCCCTAGGTTGAAGACCACCAACGTTTTAAAGACATCTCTCTCCATTTCAACGTTAAAATTAAGAAACTTGAGGGCCAAGCCTCCTGACGCTCGCACCACCACCCTTACTGAGAACAATGTTAAATTTGAACTGAACAATTCTCGAGACAACACAATAAGAACAAAGTAGAGTAATCAGTGATTCACCCAACTTCACGCTACTAAAACAGAATTCTAGGCAGGTCACAGATTTCGCAGACACAAAATGTCACACAAGCATTTTGCGCTATAAGAATCGCCCTACTGAAGATTCAGCCCGTAATTTAAGAACTTCTCTAACTTCATAGGATGGAGCACGAGCAGGGCAAATAAATGAGGTGCCAGATGAGCTCGCAGTCGCGTCTCAGCCCGTCGCAATTTCGATAACCTGAAGCACCATTCCGGTAACATTGCATTATTCTGTCGCATAGGAGCGGTCGCTGTCAACGCGTACTTGCGGGCATGCGGAGGAGGATACTCAGTCATACAAAATGCTTTCCAACATAGATCTGTAGTAAAGGGTGTGGTCGTGCACCGTCCCAGGAAGGCTTCGAGCCCTACGAGCTTCCGAATATTCGGCTAGAGGGAGTAGCTTCTCACTCAAGTACCTCAAATTACGGGAAACTGGAAGAATTCTAAAAATGCTTGGCGGTCTTCAAACTAGAGATGTACCTGAAAGCGAAGTGATAACACCACGAAGCATTAACCCTCAAAGTGCACGCTAATTACGAGGTCAAACGAGCGATCACTCGCATTGGCTAGCGATCGCAAAAGAATAAGAGAGCGTAAACTAGAAAAAACTAAGCAGTTATCAAGAAACCAATTGTATATTATCGTGTAGCATTCATCGTGCTGAGTACGACGGCATGAATTACAACATTATTTCTACGCTCTCTGTTCACTTATATTTTTTCAAAGGTGGAAATATTGCCGCTTGTCTTATTCAAGTAGACGCTTGTCCATGAGCAATTATGCCATTATACGGAACAATATGACATGTTCTTGGAAACGCCATTCGATTCGTTGATCACACACTTCGCTAAAGCGCAATTTCGAAAAGAAAAGAAAAGTGATTGTGCTTGCAGAATGTGACGAATACCGATATTCAGGAGCAAATTATAGAAGAAACACTCATCAGAATTTGACTAGCAACAAAATTCTTGCGTGGGTCCATACGAAGTTTGAGATACTAGCCTTTCCGTTCTCGTTTCTCCAAATTATGAAGAAACATGCGTTCAAAATTCAGAAATGTCGTGAAATTAAAAATTTCGCTTGTTTCGAGAGTCACTGTGAAAAGTGGATAAAAATGCACCAGAAAAGAGATGCGAATGAACAATGAACTTGTGCACATTAGCGTGAGGTTCTGGTGTCCTACCTTGAGGTCAGAAGTGATTTTCAAGCCAGCTTACAAGGTGAAGCTGGTGACCTACTTAACGAATCTCAACCTGTGACACATAATCGAACTCGTCCTGGAGAGACGTGTCTCTTTGAATCTTTCGGTTTCATTCGTTTTCAACGGAGTTATAGGGGTGTGACGGTTCGTGAAAGACTGATCTTTCAATCGGCATCATTTTTTTCACATTCTGTGAGCGGTATTGTACTTTCGGGAATCAACCAAGTTTTTTTTCGAATTCTCGAATATGTTTTTTTATAGACTGAATAAGTAAACTGGTGGCGGTGTCCGTTCCTCCAAGTGGTGCCACTGGAACTGCTCACTTTGTGAGCTGAGCTGACCACGGACATTCGAATGCAGGCGACAGGCCCCGTGACAGGCCGGCCTACGAACACCCATGTCACATCACAAATATTAATGTCCCGGGAGCCGACGCGCACTCGCAAAGCCCGGCGAGTGTGAAAAGTATGCGAGGGTCTCCGGTGCAAGGACGGCATCGGGGGGCAACTAGGCTAGTCCAAAAGTCATGCAACGTATCGGAAGACCCGCGTTGCAACATTAAATGTTGGCACGTTGACGGGCCGCTCGTGCGAGTTGGCAGAAGCTCTAGAGCGCCGACGAATTGATTTCTGTGCCGTGCAGGAAACGAGGTGGTCCTGCTGCAAGTCGAGGGACATTGGCCGCGGCTTCAAAGCCGTTCTCTGTGGCGGTCCCAGAACCACCAATGGCGTCGGGATGATTGTCTCTGAACGCTTTCCGTGATTCGATAGTAAGCGTGGAGCGCTTCGACGACCGTTTAATGAAGATCATTGTCGTCATCGAACAACGAAAATACCACTTCTTCTCTGCGTACGCTCCGCAGACCGGATGCTCCGAAAGATAAGTTCTGGAACCTGCTTGATGAGAAGACAGCTGAGGTTCCGTCACAAGAAGCTATAATTGTCGCAGGTGACCTCAATGGGCACGTTGGCGCTACGAAAGACGGTTACAGCTGTCATGGTGGTTTTGGATATGGGTCACGTAACACTGATGGCGAGCGAATTCTCGAGTATGCAGACTCGCACAACCTCGCCATTGTGAACACGAAATTCCGAAAACGCGACTCACATCTCATCACCTTCTATAGCGGTAAACCAGAACACAAATTGATTTCGTACTTGTCAGGCGCCGCGACCAAGGGCTCGTAACAGACGCGAAAACAGTGCCTTATGAAACGGTCGCCACGCAACACCGACCACTAATTTGTACGCTAAAGATCGCCCCGCCGAAACCGAAACTAACCGAAAGGTGTGGGCCAGCGAGAATCAAGTGGTGGCGACTGAAGGAAAAAGAAGCGGCCGTCGTTTCCCGCATTCGATTACCAGCGGTAACGACTGTCGACGAAACCTGGAAAGGTGCTGCCGAAGAAATAACTCGGATAGCTCGATCCGAGCTCGGGATGACGAAGCCTGGACGGCGGAGAATTGACAAGCAAACGTGGCTGTGGACGGACCAGGTCAGAGAGAAAGTGCGCGAAAAGAAGAAGCGGTACCACGCATTTCTTAACGAAAAGACAGCTGATAACTGGCGGAGCTATCAGATAGCGAAGAAAGAGGCAAAGAAGGCCGTTGCTTCCGCGAAAGCAGCTCATTTTGCTGATATCAGTAAGAAACTCGAGTCGCGCGATGGTGAGCGGTACGTTTACCGACTTGCAAAGACCCGCCATCGCCAGACCGAGGATATAGAAAAGTTCTTCGGCATAAATGAATGGCCACCTCTTGACGGACCGCAAGAAAACACTGAAGCGATGGCGTGACTACTTCGAAAACATCTCAACAGTCGAATTTGCTCATCCCGCCATCCCCTGCGCTCCGCCAGTACACGGTCCCGTTCAGAAGATAACCATGGAGGAGACCATCACGGCCATGAAGAAGATGAAATCAGGCAAAGCAACTGGTCCTGACGACTTAGCGGCGGACTTGTGGAAATCAAAATGCTGGAATCCTGCAGAATGGTTGACGGAGTTCTTCAACCAGATCGTTGCAGAGAAGAAGGTGCCTGAGAGCTGGCAACAGAGCACGACGATTCCTATCTGGAAGAAGAAGGGCAGTCCTGGAGACTGCACTAGCT